TTATAGTATGTGAGAAGTGGTCTTCCATAAACGCACCACAGAATATGTGACATAGATTCATTCCACCTAAACTGAAGTGTCTCAGATACTCAGTTACATTAGGCTTCCTGCACAGACAATCAAGACTGATAATCAACTTCAAAAGGCAGTTTATGTTAAATAACTGCTGTTTGCTGGAAGGACCATGGTCCACATGCTTACTAAGCATGCTAAAGGTATTATGAAATAATAAGCATGCTCTGTGAGACTTGGACACAGCAATAAGTCACTTTCCAACAATATGAGCTTTACCAGGGTTCTGCTACTCAGTCAGGAGTATTTAAATCCTCCGAGTCTTGCAAACAGTATTATTTTTGCTCTAAATTAATGGCCTCAGTCTAATCGTTATAATTATGTCTTCACAGCATTTATAGCCAAAAGACAGGTGATTTAACTGTCTAGAGACTCTCAGTCTCACTCAGAATAGGCCTCCAGGTCAGAGGTGTATTAATGAGAGAACTGCTGGAGGATGATGAGCTGATCCTGCAGCCACCAACAGCACTGAATTGACTGCAAGGGACTCTATAGAAAATAACTTGCAGCTACTAATAACTCAAATCATACTGCAGATACAGCTGTTATCGTGAATGAAAGTACTTTTTTTGGTTTTGGAGGAGGCCAGGGTGGTTGTATCAAAACCCAGACCATGTACAAATTTCAGAGTGGTCACTGTGTAGCACACTACAATATTTGAAAGGGATAGGAATCAAGTTTACATCAGTTTCTTCCAGGATGTGCATCCTGTGTCAGCAGGAGTGGCAAAAGATACTGTTTTGTAGGGGGCTTCTCTGATCAGTATTTTTGATGTGTAGTGGTAGGAAGTAGTAATAATAATATTAGAACTGCCACATATAACTAAGCAACATGTTATAGGGGATAAAACTAAACATGGTTGGTTGCTAGTACCTGGTATTATTTGCATTTGAAAAGCATGTGTTATAGTGAGGCATGTCATACACCAGCCCTTTTCATTCTGGAAGGGATCTTCAGGCATATCTTGAGTATTTCTAACAAAAGTGAATTAAAAACATATAACAAGTATAGATTTTCCCATTGTCTATAAAGACAGTTTTGATTTCTTAGTTGCAAGCAAAGGGCATGAGGGTAATAACTGACTTGAAGAAAGAATGTGAACTAGAAGGGGCAATAATCCTTTGCTTGGAGCTTCTCCTGCACCTAAAAAGTAGTTAGTTTAATTCTGGACAGAGCAATGCTTTTCAGTGAGATTTGACATGTCAAAGCAGTGTTATGAAGACCAGACTCCTGATTTCCCTACAAAACACCCAGCAGACATTTAAGCACGCATTAAAAAGAACTATTTCTTAGAAGTCTAGCTACAAAAAATTGAATCAAATGGCTGTAAAGCGTTTCATTGCTTGGTGCTATGATCTTCCCTGCTAGTTCTTTGGACAGAGTCCAAATATGAAGAAGCATCTGCAGAACCTAAAGTTATAAAGTAATGTATTCTGGCAGAAACTGATCCAACACTGCAGGGAAAGATGAATTCTGAAGCAATTGGTAAATTTGAAAGGGATTTCTTTGTCACACTTGCCATCCATGCAAATGACTGACTTACCCAGCTACTCAAACTTCTACCCATCTCCAAATCACTTCTCCAGCTCAACTGACACATGTAATTGTCTACACATCTAAGCATCTCTTGTTCTTCTCCTTCCAAGTTTCCCAGTCACTGCATATTACAATAAATACTGTGATAATTTTAATAATCTGCTTAGACTTGATTCTCTAAGATGATGTTTCTAAGAAGCAATTGATCAATGTGAGAGACTGTATGGTAACCTAACCTAACAATTTTCTGCATTTCCCTAAATTCTACTATCTTGCACATTTTTAGCATTTCTTCATTGCAGCTATGTCCATATACAGGATAACGAGTAAAATATTGCTGAAGAAGAAATTAAGCTTGTGCATTATGAAAAGACAGAACAGAGATGTCTGATCATGTGCAATGGGGAGCGAGGTTAGGAAATTAATTTTGCAATACTCTTCAGAAAGTCTATCAGAAGGAAAAGTTATTTTCCCACTGAGGAAGAGAATGCTCCAAGAATATTATATATATATGTGCATACCATGGCCTCTCATGGCTTTAACTGGTATCACCAAAGTTACCTTTGAAGTAAAGAAACCATTAATTCCGAACATAAACAATTATGGTATTGACTTTTAAAAAAGCTTTACATTCAAGCTGTAGGCCTGGAATGAAAGGCTAACTGATTCAGCCTGCAGACATGGATTATTACCCTAAATGTAAAGCCTATAAGCCATGATAAAATCAACATTTACTTATTCGTTTTGCACTGTACTTTGCAATAAATACTTTCCAAAATATATATGGTATTGCTGCTTATGTCTAAATAGAAGAATTTGATGGATAACACTTGAATGAGTGCACTGAAAAAAACCCAGATATGTTTACAGTTTCTCAACAATCAGAAGTTTCAAAGGCAATATATTATTTTACAAGTTTTTAATGTGGTTTGATTTGCAGGCCTCTGGGGAGACCCTAAAAAAAATGAAGATGTTGGAAAGAGGAGTCTCTGCTTCCAAGAAGGAAAAGAAAGTGGAAATTAAATAAGTTGTAAAAAAGAAAAGACGTGTTCATCTCTCTCTGGCATCTCCATTGGGGCACTTTGAACTCACTCTCCCACTGACTATAAGATTTTTTTGACAGAGAATGAAAGTGTTGGGTTACTGGATACTGGTGTCTCATTGGTGGAAGAAAAAAAAAAAGAGAAAGTAAAAATAGGCAAACTAGACGCAGAGGTAGATGAAAATTTTACCATAATGAATGTTTGGAAAAAAAAGTATAATATATATGTGTTTTCAGGCCTGGGGCCTGCAGGGAGGAGGATTGCTTTTTAGAGGTCAGTCAAGTACATATGGCCAGAAATCATGCTTAGGATCATTGATTGCCTTTTCCTTAATACTTAGAAATAGGTCTGAATGTCCTCTATCTTGGAAGTGAGAGATTTACAGTCTTTCTTAAAATAGTATTTTTTCCCTAGGGGTGGCAGGTGACAAAGGGTGAGCTAAGTGCCTGAGGACTGAAAGGAGACTAATTATTTTTTATGGGATTTTTTCAGTGGTTTTTGTTTGTTTGTTTGTTTTCAGGTGTTTCTGTAATGCTATAGAAGATTATGGCAAATATTTGATCTTGCCTTTGGGCTGTGAGGCAAAGGTTTGTTTCATAGTTCCCTTGTCCCTCAGTCTTACTCCTTTGATGAACAAAGCTGTGTTTGTGAAATCACCTCCCTAGCCTGTGAAATCACCTCTTTACCTTGAACCATATATTTTCAATAAAAATATATATTTTTTAAAAAATGTAACTTTAAATTATTATAATATAATTAATTATTGTAAAAGAGTAGTAAGACTGCCTCGCAGTCCAGAAAAGGTGTGAGCAGCCTGTTCATTCACTGCAACTGCTTGCTTACTAGGATTATTATATCATTTTGGGGGGAACTGCATGGGGTTTCTGCTCAATCTAACCTTTGTACTGATGAATAACAGGGCTGTAGATACATAAAAAACCAGTTTCATACCTTAGTTATTCCATGGCCAAGTTTGATTTAAGTGTTTTTGACAGCAAGCTTCACCATCTATCAGTCAAGAGCCTAAAAATACTAGTAGGTAGTGACATATATGTGTAGATATAAATATTCACATCCAAATGTACACATATATATCCATACATGTCTATGTATTGATAAATACCCTTTTTGTGATACAGATGGTGGTGCAGGGAGCAGATAAACTTGTGATGAGGAATTATCATTCTATATTAAAATGGATACCCATTCACGTTGCCTTGTATGACTGTCTTATATGACTCCCTCTTATCATTCTCCTTCAGTAATTAAAAGTCAAGCTTACTAGTTAGTGCCTGACACCAGAAAGGGATAAGGTCAAGGAACACCATCTGAAGTAGACATCTGCATACAGATTTACTAACACTGAACTGTTCAGACAAATATCACAGTTTTTATGGCACATAAACTCTCTTCCCCAGTGAAAGAGTATAAGGATGGTTCGGACAAGTGAATTTAGTGAGGGCTGGACCAGTTTGCTTTACTGACATTGATGCTGAACCAGTTCTTGCACAGTTCTCCATAGTTCTGAACAAATACTGTCGTGCACTGATTCTTCCCCTTCTCCTACCCCCCTCCCCACCCCCAAACCACTCTCATTTGCTTACAAAACACCAGTGTAGCCATTTCATACCAGGTTCTTTGTGATAGGACCAATTGACTATTTGTACTTTTGGTTTTTCAGATGCTTAACCGAGTCTCTTGCAGAGCTCTGCTTCTCTTCTTTCCTCTCCGTTATTCAGAATCAAACAAAGTTCATCATACTGTGCTTGATTACAAATCACAGTGGTGATACTGCTGCACAGAATATTAATGATGTCAACTTTAAATAACAAGGTTATTTAATAGCAGAATGCCAGAATGTTACAGACTCCAAAAGGAGACTTAGTTTTTCTTAAGCTTAAAAACATACAGTTGCATGTAGGATGATACATAATTCCTGTGCTGCAATTGAAGCATAGTCCAAAACTTCCAGATAATTTTTAAATGTTTTCATCATGAGAAAGTAGAAAATTTTTGGACTGCCTAGCAAAATTATCAGTCCATGTTAACCAACACAAAATAGCTAAATAAAACCTGACTTTATCAGTATTTGAATACGTAGCTGGTATGAGGGTGACATTTGTTGCTACTGCAGAATTATGCTCTCACAGCATCCTGCAGAGCAGCTGATATTAGTTATCATTAGCAAGAAGCTGATTCTGGAGCTTAAGCAAGAGAGAAAGGCTCTGGGTTAGTCTTAGGTCAAAGTATTAATAGCACTGGTTGCGTGAATTAAGTATTATTCATGACTTGATGTTACATGTTACAAACTTTTCTAGGAGGGAAAAAAGAAAACACAGAAATCTCTCCTTCTTTTAGAACACAAATACATAAATTTTAATCTGAGAAAAATACAAAATGAAACCATGTACAAGTTATGTACAAACCCTTTTTACAGGACAATATTTTTATCACTGGATATTACATATGACAAAGTCAGGTAGATCATTTCTGAGCACCAGCATTTGATCTCTCTCACCAACCCATAATGGTAAAAGTAAAATGATGAAGTCATACTCCTTTTTCTTGATGAACTTTTACCTTAAAATGGTAGCTGGTTCTCAGTGTACCCCTTCACATTCTCACTCCCAAATTATAACTAATTAGACATATGAAATGATCAAAATATGTTGTATATATGTGTTCGCGTGTGTGTTTTTATCTGAAGGAAGAAAGTGACTTAATTGGTCTTGAACTCTACAGAAATGTGAAAGTTAAAGTTATATCAATTTTTCTTTTTTTCTTTTTTTTTTCTCTTTTTTTTCTCTTTTTTTTTTTTTTCTTTTTTTTTTTTTTTTTTTTTTTGCCAGGAGTTAGGTTATTTGTGTTGGCTAAGCACATGTGTCCCAAGCTATACCATGGCAGAAGCAGCATTTTGTAACTGTTTGAGATAACTTCTGCTGATACTTTAATGTGGTTCCTGTTAGTTATCATCCAGTCAACAAAATTCTCATATACCACATTTTTTGTTTCTGAAAAATCTATGTTTTCTATTATAGATATTCAGCTGCCTATATGCTGTGTTCTGGGTTGGTTTTTTTGTGATTTTTTTTTTTTTTTTTTAAGTTACAGAAATTTCCTCTAAGATACATTGACTGAAGCAGTAAGAAGCCTTCTCTCAACCTAATTAAGGTTCTAGTTAGATGCAGCATTACTGTGTTTAGCTTCTTATTGTTCTAAATTAGACCCAAAGTAATGAAAGAAACACCTTATATTTTATATTTTCTTCATTTTCCCTACCCCTTCTCATTTTGACAGTTAACAGTAACACACCATTGTATAGAACAGATAAATTAGACCAGCAGTCCTAGCTATTCACTTCAGTGAATTACTTGGTTATTTAGACTACTGCACAGAGACGATACAATTTCAGTGTGGCTGCATGTTCTGTAGCAGAGAAAATCTGTGCAGAAGAAGATACATTACTTATATAAATATAGCTTTGATAAATGCTGGGACAGACTTATCAATACTATAGGCCTGTGTACCTTCCTAGGCAGCGACCACAGCAGAACAGCTACTCCATTCCTTTAATTATTTCAGATAGGGGCTGTAACCCACACTCACTACTATTGCTCAGCATGAAAGTACTACCAATATTAGGCCTACTAATGGAATATTAGAAGACCTGGTGTGCATATATGATGAGTTTAAAAAACAACAACTTTCCCTTAAGCCTGTGAGTGTTCAAGCATCTTTAGAATTAAAAAAAAAATAAATTAAAAAGGTGCTTGTTTGTATGTTGGGGATCGTGGTGGTTCAGAGGGCACAGAACGGAAAGCAACAGAAAAAATATAAAGAACTCTCTTTTCCCCTGATTTTTTTTATGCATTTGCCATTTATTTTGACAGATATTCCCAGACTAAACCACTGTAACACAGGGAACGGATTTCTGTTTTCACTTTGTGTTGTTCGCCTTTCACACACTTGGTTATTTTGTTTAAGCACATTTAAAACTAGAAATGAAAGGTGAGACACACACTTCTTTTGGTGCTAAAGAAATTCACAATGATAACAGCTGTAAAAGCAAAATAACACACATACACACACTCCTGACCTCAATTTGTGTTGATTTCAAATACATTGGGATCCCGGAGCCCTTAGGAATTCACTTCTTGATAAAATAATTTAAGCACCTGCTCAGTGTTTGGGTTTGAGCCCTGTGAGTCAGGTAGACTAGGGCAGTTGCTAACATGTTTATAACTTGGCTCCTGAGTGATCAAGCAGTGAAAACATGAATAATTACCCATTTTTAAATTATTGCTTCTTTTTTTTTTGGTCATGCATTAGTTTATGCACCCAATTATTGCATTAGATGTTAGATGCAGTTTACACACAAACACACACACTCACACCCACAACCCAACAAAACCAGTCCTCTCTGGATGAGAACACACTATTGCACTTTCTCCTTCTCCTACTATATGAAGAGATCAAGAAATGCAAAGTCTTTCTTACACAGGCCAAAAATATCCAACAATAATACCCACCACTACCCAACAACCAAAATAATTTGTAGTGTAACTTGTACAGTGCATGCAAACCACATTTGCCCTTTTCCACATTTGCTGAGGCCAATTAAGTCTTTTCATATCCAAGTGACCAAGCCTGGCCCCGATCAAGGGGTCTGTACCTTCTGTCACATGTATTTCTTACTGTTTGGCCATTGGTGCTGGTTTGAAAGACAAGCTGCTAAGATGACAGTGACAGCTTTAAGACCTTTTCAAAAACTACATTTCTTACAGCATTAAGACAATCCCATCAAGGCCTTAAAAATTGTACTTAGACTATGAATTTCTTCCTTATACCTTAACTTTTGCTGTGCTTGGCACTTGCCACCAAATCTAATAGAGGACAGTTTTATCCTTTCATCTTAGTGCTTCATGGGGACAAATTAAAATAATAGCTGTGAAACAGAGAGAGAGCAAGCAGACTTTCTGGCAATGTGGGAACATGCAAGTGCATGGGTGTGAGGAGCACATACCTGCTGCAGGTGTGTGTTTGGGGGGGGGATCTGCAGTGTGCTGTCAGTGCGTCCCTCATAAAACTAACAGGAATGGCTGCTTTTTGGTCAAACCAGGAGGAAACAGCAGATACAATTCTTCCATGTGCTACCCTGTAAGTCACATACTTTCTTTTTTTTTTGTGTGTGTCTTTCTTCACCCCAGTGCATGGACAATAAAAATGATGACCACCTTCATATGATGAGTCAATCAAATACATATATATCTCCATGTATATGTGTGGGTGTATATGTCCACATAGATGTGCATGTGTGGACATGCATATATGCAAACGCACACAGAGACACACTGTCCAATACATGAGTTACCAAAAAAACCACAAACTGAATAGCCTGTATCAACAGTGCATGCAATTTACTGAAAAAGCTGAAATTCCTCCCCCCCCATCCCACCCTTTTCTTTTTGCCTTTTCAGAAAGAATTATTAATAAAGATCAAGAACTTATTTCTACATCAGTCATCATGTGGTCTGTCAGCTGTCACTTAGGCCCCGTTTCCCAGCCTTTTCCCAGCTTTAATGTAACTTCACAGATCCACATATTGGTGCTGGCTTTATTTTTTTTAATTGCTGAATATTAAAGATCCCCAACAGGTTTTCTACATTTTCCTCCATCTAATTGCCAGAAGTCAGTCATGCAAATTTGATCATGAGAAATAGGAGTAAGAACAGACTATTTTTTTTAACTTTTCTGTAAATGGGAAATGTAGTATCCTGTTATTCTCTGTCTTGTTTACTCTCTACAGGTGTTGCTCTGTCTATCATTGCATATGAAACTATCTGTGCCAGGAGAGTGCGTGAGTGTGTTCATATCTTGCCCTTTTATTTATAAACAGTTGGTAGCATGGTATTTTTGGGTGTGACAGTTAAACTGGACAGAGACACATACACCCACACACACCCACACACCCCCCCCCCTTAGCTATGTAGGAGTGTTTTATTTGTTTCACTGGTATGTTTTATCCAGGGAATGCTCAGTTCTGACAGAAAAACACTCAGAAATGGCATTGTGTATGATAAAATGTAAGATATAATGTTCTATGGCTCTACAGTAAACACCAGTCTTCTAAGAAAAAAAGGAAAAAAAATTCATATGTACTTGGTGAGGTTGAGCACAAATTTCTAAATTCTTCTGTACTCAGGACCAGCTTTTCCATTCTGGTTATAATATGCAGTTCATAAATGAAAAAGGAGCACTGACTTCAAAGAAAAGGCTTAACATGACCCAATGCAGAAACTGGATATAAATTATATGTGTCACTAGCTGATGCAGCATATATAGGAAGATCTCACTGGAATTATCTTCTCTTTTGGGGACTGTGAAATGTGTTAAACACAGTCTAAACAATTATGAAAAACTGCTTGAACTGTTCTTTTACTTTGTAGGAGATTGAAATATTTTAAACAATCCAATTTTACAGATACTGTATTAACAATTCTTGTTATTGTCTTTAAATAGCTATTCTACAAAATGTAACGACAAAATAGTCACAGTCCAAGAAGTCACTCCAGAATAAAGCCTATTAGGTGTTAGTATGGTTGTACTGCAGCCAGTGGACAAACATTAAAGCTGAAATAGATTGGCTTAAATGTTGGATTATATAGTGGACATCATTGTTTTCACAATAAATTCATCATCTGCTTTGTATTTTTTTTATTCACTGATATTTCTCTACTGATAAAAATACCACAGTATGTTTTATTGTGGTGTTTAACAATTCTGCAAAATTACAAAGCCTAAAGTTAACTTGCACAATGAAAATCTGCCTTTCCTGATGACTCTGTTTTGGGTTTTTGGTTTTTGTTTCCTTATTAGCACAACCTTTTCTTTTTGTTTTTCTTCATACAATTGTTTCAGATGTTGCTTCTTTGAGATAGAGAGAGTTACTAAATCATTTAGAACTTAAATGCTTGGGTGGATAGGTACTGCAGCACAGATATGAAACATCGCATTTTTGCCGGATGGCTATAAAGCTTGTTGGCAACTTTGTGAAACTGCTGACACAAAAGGCACCCATCAAAGGCCTTTTGCATGTTACCATAATAAATAAATACATTCATTACTTTTATTATTTTGATTTGGTTATTACTGTACTTTTATGTGTGGTGTCCCAGGAAAGTGAAAATAAATTATGGGGGGGGAAGCAAAACCAAAAAATCAACTGCTAAAATAAGATGTTACTTGGTGCAAGAATGAACTGAGGACAGCATGTTGCAAGATTATAGAGTTGAGGCTAAACCAGTTTTTATCCTGATCTCAATTCCCCAAAAGGAGATTCAGTGTGTCCTTTACTAAGGTATGAGTTAACCAAAGTGCAAGGAGCTGGAGCTAAATCTCTATATGTATCGGGAAGAATTTGAACCAAATCAGACCAATGAAAGGCCATCAGCACTTTTGAAGTAAAGGAGTAATAAAATATGGTAGATGAGACAATTTATAACTTACGCTTCCATGCTCTGTTTTATGCAGTCTGGATGAAAGCACAGTAATACATGGCAAAAGAAGAATTGCCAAACCTGCTTTCCTGAAATTAGCAACTGCTGATGGCTAATGGGAAGTGAAGTGAAATTGCCAGATTTGCCATTTATAGCAAGTGCACCTTATCTACATGGCCCTTGGTTTAGGGCAGTGACATTCCCTATGCTAGTGTTACAGAAAGTTACTGAGGATGCTGGGTTTGTGTGTGTGTCTGTGTGTGTGTGTGTGTGTGTGTGTGTGTGCATGTGAGACAGGGCAGGGTTATTGGACCCTCACATAACTGGCAATTAAGATGATCTATGTATGTTAATAAAACAAAGAATATTTCAGAAGAATGTTACATGTACAAAAATATGACTATCAACTTCGAAAATAAATAAGTTCAGTTTATTAAGAGCTGGTGTTGATGCTGAACAAAATACACATCTTCCAGTAAAGAAACATTTTGGTGAATTGTTGTTGGGTTTTTTTTTTTTTTTTTTTTTTTTTTTTTTTTGATTTACTAAAATACAAGTTGGACCTTTTTTTCCCCCTTTTTGTAAATATATCATTTGTCTCCCTTAATTACACATCCTTATAACTGTGACCATCATTCTCCTTTAAGCCAAAGACCAAGGGTTTCTTGTTTCTTTTTTGTTTGTTTGTTTGTTTTAATTCTTAGGAGTCTGGCCACACATGCAGGTTTTTTTAAGGGAAAATACTTGACAATGAAAAAAAAGAAAAAAATATATTTTTTTCTAATAAATAAAAATAATTTAAAACGCTAGAGGCTATACATGACTAGTTTTGATTATGTTCATTTATAAATGAAATAGTTTCCAAAATACGTGGAAGCAATATTAAAGGCAGACAAACAAAGATCTGTCTACTTCATTTTCCCATTAAGCTTGCCCTTCTTAACTTCTCCATCAGTGGTTCAGCATGTAAGAGGAATAAATGTCACATCACCATTCATGAAGTTTGTCAGGCTTTAAAAAAATAGTTCTGGCCTCGAAGGAGTCAACATTCATCTTCAACTTCTCGGATTGGTGGTATCAAGCTGCTTGTTGATTTATATTGATTGATCTGATTGGCCATGTGAGTGCTCATGGGCTTGATTTGAATGTTTCTGGGATAGGCATTATCCGGCTCATCTGTAAACCATTTCTTTTCTGCTAAGGAGCGAAACAGGTAGAGACAGAATAAGGAGGGAAAATGAAAGTTTTCATTAGTGAACTACATATACACATAAACATTAAAAAAAAAAATAGGGGGAGCAGTCAGTAAAGTTTATAGAGAAAAGAGATCAACAGAAGGTGATTGACTAATTATTAGCAGTATAGCATTAGATTAATACCTCTGAAAATACTGTTCATGAAAGGAAGATGATGTTTGCAGATTTGACAATAGAAACTAAAGAAAACTGCCAATATGCTAGTTTGCTTATTGGATCTTTTTTTATCCCATGCTTAGGTGAAAACCCTCTGACTCATTTATTGAAAAAATGATACTGAGAAGCCAGGGAAAGCAGCTGTGGATAAGGGTAATGCAGAAAAGAGCATATGAGTCTATACACAGAGAAGCACCTAAAGAGACAGACACTTCTCTGAACCATTTCAACCACTGGATGGTCACTATTGCTGTCTCAGAAATCATGCAGGAGAATAAAAAGAGCTTTCTGCAGTTGGTGCTGGAATAAAAAAGACTTGTATTCATGCTGCCAGATGGCAGCCTTCCTACACAGGGTGGGATTTATATCGCTACTTCGAAACATAGGTGCTTGGGCACTGCTGAACTCTACAGTTTAAGAAGGTGTATGGAATACACCAGGTGCAGTAGGTGATTGTAGCAGGGGCTCCAGCCAATCATGCATGGATTGGTTGTCATTGGTGGACAGCAAGGCAAAGGAAACAAGGACTTGAAGATTAGAGGGAGTTTTTCTTTTCTGTCTTTGGGCAGTGTCTGTTTCCATGAACACAGGAGGAATTTTATGGTACGCTTTAAGGTGGGATAGGAGCAATATGTGAGGCAGTGAGGATGCTGAGAGGCTGCCAGCACTGCAGCCATTCCCTAGCTGTTTGTTATTGTAAGCATTATATTGCACTGTTCATATGAGGGTACGGACAAAATCTTTTTAAAATTCACAAAGGGAGAAAATAAAAATAATTTTATTAAACCCTTCAGAAAGCAACTTCTGTAATTTCTCAGTTACAGGTGTGCAACTTTATAAGATAGCTCTATTGAAAGACTTTGAAACTCCTGGTCTAAAGAGTGGCTTATGGCCATTAGGCAGCTTGTGCTTTGACAAGCATTTGTGGACAGGGGTTTCCAGTCTTGTCCTCCTTCCCCAAATTCCAGAGGTGGGAAGGCAGAGCAGTGGACACTTATGTTTTTGGGCATTTTCATTATTATATGCAAGATTTAAAGTGTGCCACGTCAGAGCTGCTGCTCTTACATGTATGCACTACTCCTCATTGCAATGGGGAACCCCAAAATGCTGGAGAAGCTTTAGTGTCTCTCTTACATAATACAAATTGCTACTTGTACAAACCACTGAAATGCTGCAGTATCTGGAATCAGGACAAGAGTGGAAGAAATACTAATTTTTTAATAAATAAATGATTAAAAATAAGCAAAGCAAAATCCACCTAGGAAACTAAAGGATCCAGCACAAAAGCTTAGGAAGTAAAAGAGAGAAAAGAAACTGAAAGACTGGGAAGAATAAAGGGCAAATACCTGGGCATAACTGAACAAAAATAAGCAACCAGCTTTGGAGTTAGAACCTCTCAAGAGGTAGCTTAATTTCCAGAATTACTGGACTTCTCCGTTTTGTGAATATCCCATTTAAACACTTACACTTGATATGAATTTCAAGAATATACATGCAGCACCCCCATCCCACAACAACAAACCCCAAATTCATGAGCATTTAATCCAGCTTTTTTTTCCCCCCAATTTATTTGTTACCTGTTCTTACACTTCTTTTAAAAATAAATTGAAGAAAAAGAATTATATTACTCATTAGTGGTTTATTGCTGAAGACAAACAGAAATATTCTACTGTTTTTCTTGACATTTTTTAAAATGCTTTTTACTTCTGCTTAAAAATATCCTACTCATTTGCGACCAGGTTGAATAATTCCCTATCCCCTTAAAGTTGCCTGAGTCTGAATGATGTTCAGTCTCCCATCTCCCTCTCTCTCTTACCTATTATAATTAAGTTCCCTTTGATTTGAACAGATTGGACGATAGGAATTCATAATGTTACATCCTGCACACTGAAGCTAACTGATTAAGTGCTTTAAATTATTCTTCCTGACAGAATGATAAAGTTACAATCTGTTCAGAGATGATCTACAGCTTGCCAGACTCCTACTGCTTCTTTCTACATTCATTTATCTTTTTGTCAAGCAGTTAAAAAAAAAAGAAGCCTCAATTCCATAGATCTTTTAAAGTAATCAGAACATCTGAATTATTAATGAGACTTTAAGGGAATGATTCCTGATGGGGGCCGGTTTAAGAAAGGTTGTCGGAAAAAAAAATCTGGGAATGTGTACACATCAAAATAATTTCAGCTCCATTTAAAAAACCATTTAGTTCAAGTGTGACACATGAACCATTATGCATTTGTGGAAACCAATTTTATGTGATCTACGATTAAACTAACCTTTCAGAGAGGTGTAAAGTGTGATGGTTATCATGTTTTAAAAGCCTTGCGAGATCACATAAACAATTTCAAACTAACAGTTTTCTAATGGTTTATGTTTAAAATGATTTTGAGACAAGTTAAGCACTGCGAACTTCTTTTTTAACACATGGTGCACAAACTTTCCTTACAAACAGAACTTGGTGCATGTTAGTTCAATGTCATAGCAAGAAAGGGGAGAACTACTTGAGTGCTAAGGATCATAACTGCATTGTGTTTCTCAGCAGCCAGTGTAAAAGCATTTCCAAACCCCCTGCTTTCCCTAAAATTTTCAAAACATGCTAATTATTTATATGTTAATCTTTACAATAAAACTCATATATATGGGGAGCTGATCTTTTAAAAGACACCATGGCATCTCTTTTTGCATTTAGCTGGCAAGCAATAAATACAGAACATTAATAATATTTGCAGAAACTGGTAAATTCTAATTTCTTCTGCTGTTTAGATTTCTTTTTGCAGTGCTGAAACTTTGATCTAAGCACTAGCATCTCCAGCATCAAATGGTTGGACACAGTTTTTACCTTTCCTGTTCCTTTCTGCTGTTAAAATTGTCTTTGACCACATAACAATGAATTTCCTGTGAGAGTTCATTGACCTCTATACTTACCTTTGAAATGTAAGCTTAACACTCCTCCTCTTTACTCTTGACCACTAATATATTCTGCTCCAAGTTACTAATGTCTTTCTTGAATGTCTTACACTTTCCATTCTCTTATGCTATGCTCACAATCTGACTGTGATATGTCTTCCAGAGTTTTAGCACAGATTTTTACTCATCTTAAAAAAGGGGTTTTCTGAACTGCTCTAAAGGCTAGAGTAAGTAGTTTATTTAAGTCTTTCTACATTGTTATATCCACCAAGCTCTTTTGAGTACTCTGTCATGTTCCTATTTCTCTCCCTTTTGGACTATGCATATTGATTCTTACCATATATGTTTCTATATAACAGAGATAATAGGCATAGTTTTTTTTTAAGAGCTATTGAAGAGAGTCCATGATCTCCCTACACTATTTGGCAGGTTTGTTTTTGACAGAATCACCTGAGAAATGTTGGAACGGTTAAGTGCACCAGAAAGCAGAAAACATTTACTTTCCTCTCCAACACTCGTGTTTTAATGGGATATCAGCATGCCAGTGCATCCACAAAGGTTCTAAAGGCTTCATGCTCTTATTACAAATAAATAAAAATTAACAATTATGTATAAGACTCTTCCCTGCAGCATAAGAAAGGATATAAATAATTAAAATAAAATGATCAAAATATAGATTTCTTCGACTTGTGTAAGACGCCAGCAATTATCTCCAACAGTCTGGTCCTTTAAAATTTCTGTCATTAATTCTAGACTAAGTAACAACTTTGCACAAACATCACCGTGAAACACCCTCTCTTCTGAGCAGAGGCAAAGAAAGTACTAGCTAACACAAACTAAGGTACTAGATAACACAAAGATTTTACTAAATTTGTATTCTCACCATAATCTCAGATTACCTTACCATTGTTTAAAACACACATTTTTTCTCTTTTGTGACACTTGCAGTTTCAAATTAGTCTATATGTATGTGTCTGTAGATCTCCTCCCTCCATGCACCCAGCTTGTTTATAACTAAGCTGAAAATTCTCCCATGCAATTTGTTCCTGCATGAGAAAAAAGGGAAAGTTTCTCCACCCACCTGCTCAGCAACTCTTTGTTTGGCAGATGAATATTTTACATGTAGCAGGCAGTAAGTAATTTGCAGGGAGAGAGACAAGGAACTATTCTTACTTTCTGTGAAGGTCTTTATTTTGCTCCAAGGTGACTAAAGCTTTGTGACAAAAATGCTGTTCTGCACTTGCTCTTAGTGATTTTTTATTTTTTAAACTAGTAAAATTCTTACTTTTGACAATGGAATTTCATTGGAAAATGCCTAACCCTCTGTTTAAGTCAGTGGGAACCCATGCCAAGAACCTGCAGACAGTTTTGTGTCAATGCTTAAGCTCACTAAGAACGTAGCTTCCAATGTTGAAACTGTTCTGGGACTGATATAAACGGCAGGACCTTCATTTAAAGCTCTGAAACATCTTGACATTGGTGATACTTCCTTGCTTTCAGAAACTAACCATTCTACTAAGGATGTTTGACTTGGAATAGGACAGGAGATTTCCTCTTACTTTTCAGTATAAAACCCAGCATAATATAGTTGATTTAAGCATTTCTCTACTTGTAATGACCAGCCTCCCAGTTGCATTAGTATAACTGTATCAGAAAATCTTTATCACTGTAATAAACTATTTGATCAATCTGACTAGAGTCAGCAGTGGAAATTGCACATGATATAACTGAAAGGCAAAACTTATAGAATTCTAACTTTAGGACAGAGGTGAACAGGACCTCAATATATTTTGAAGAATTCAGATTTGCATCCATATTAGATATTCCTCTTCTGCTGCTCATAAAGTAGAGAAGTTGCTTCTCTAATGTACGCTGTTTATATTTTCTCTATTTGAGCTGCACAGTTACACAAATACTATTTTTTTTGATAAAAACATTATGTATGATGTGACAAGTGGCTTCATATTAACACCCTTCCTTTCTCTGCTAAATGGAAACCAGATAAAACATTAATGGAAAAGCATTTTGGTGTCAAAGCCATTAACATTCTTCCAAAATGCATAACTGCTCTTGACTATCTTCAATCAATATTGCCAACATAAAAAGATGCTCATGTACATACACAAGGGATAGGAGAGTAGGGAGGGGAAGAGAGGGAAGAAATTGGAATGAGGAATGGGAATTTAATGTCTGCACCAGGAAAGGCATCTTCATTGAGCAGGAACCTGGGTGTTTACAAAAGGACACGTGCAATTAGAAAGGCAAGCAGATGAGAGGATAAAAAATAAAACAGGGTTGAGCAACAGCAGCAGCAGCAGCAGCAGCCAGTTTTACTTTTGGTTTGGAGGGAAAAAAAGGCAAAGGAAAACCAACAAAACAACCAACCAAACAAACAAACCAATAACTGAATAAAGTTTGTAACTATTTTTTTTTAATTTCACAAGTTTTCACAAGGACAAAGTTATAGAAGGAAACCCACAGCAGTTGCTAGGTCATGCAGAACCATTAATTTTCATACCTTGGCCCATTCTATTCATCCTTGTTGCACTTTAGAAAAAGAAGTAAGCTATGTAAGTTTTACAATGCTTTTAAACTGTCATATTTCTGGTTGAGCACTTTAACTGGCACATCCTTGAAGTAATAAATATTCTCAGGGCAAAACATAACTTTCTTAGAAAAAAGAAACACATGAATTTTTCTTTATGATGAAGAGCAACTGTAATAGCCTCATTTGTAGGGGAGCATCCATAATTTGCAACGTATTTCACTGATTGGACTTACAGCTGCATTTGAATGCACACACACACACATATATACTGTATTCCAATCATTATGGTTAGCACTGCACAGTGGTATTCTCTGTAGCCCACTTACATGGTTCCAGGTTTTGTCAGTAAAAGTGCTTGGCTTCATTGTCAATTCACACAGCAAGCAAATCTTCAAAATTATCATGCTTGGGGAAGGGAAGGTAGAAAACAATACTAACCATAAAAGCACCTTGTCTGAGTTGGCAGTTACAATGCTAATCATTCCAAATCCAAATATTTATTTTGTGTCTGCATGCTTTCTTGCTGGGTAGCCAGGGAAGAGGATGTGTTACTGCCCTTCCTACCCAAAGAAACTCTCCATATACCTAGAATTAATTGTATATCAAAAGGTTTCTAAAATTTAAATTAAAAAAAAAAATAAAAGCAAGCCTGAAGTATCATTTCTATGGCTGTCTAGAGTAGGTTCCTTTCCACTACTTTATTTAGTTCCCTGATACATTTTCTTTTGGTTACATGTGTCATTGGTGATAATCTGCAAGAACTAAATTCAGGCAAGTGCGTAGAACATGATGCCTCAGCACAGTGAATATTTCCAATCCAGCCCTCTTGTTCTCCTCGTTAGCTGTCTAGGGCACAGCACCTTTTCTTCCCAAATGGGAGAGAATTAAAGGCACTCAGTTGTTTTCCCCTGTATTCCTGCAAATTGGCATGCACCTGTTGGAAAAAAACCCAGGTAGAACATGCAGCAAGATTTTGGAGGATCTTTACATATTAGGACTTTTATTGGAAGATTTATACCAGCACTCTAACTTGGAAAAGTTAAACTACCATCTGGGGAAAGGAACAAAATCCCTCAAGATCTGATATGTAAGCATAAAAAATGCTTGCTCTTTTCTGAACATTATTTATTCTGTACATAAGGTGACTAATTCACCTTTTAAAGACGTAAAAGTCCCAGGAAGGCAGTTTTTAATGACTTACATCCAATATTTATGATACATATGGCTTTTTATCCCAAATGTCAAAAGTGAAAGAAAATATAGCTATTCATGTGGCAGTATAAATAGACAGAATAATAATTTAATATGCAATTAGACTCTTTCTAAACTTAAATTAAACCATTGGAGTTTTAAAACTTCATGCCCAGACAATATCAGTGTTAAAGGGAAAACATGCTATCTCCAAAGGGCTAGTATTTTAGAGAAAATCCTTAAACAAGCAGAAAAGTCCCTGATATTGCTTTGGTATAAAGCAGGTGTGTAGCAATAATCTATACAAAGAGTGTAAGCCCTATATAATATATGCTTTGAGAGTGAAAAATCACTAGGGATTTTTTTTTTGCAGGTTTTCTTTTTTTCCCAATAGTTTTATAAGCTTCAAATAAATGTATCAGCTCCTCTAAATATGAATATAAAACCCCCATACCTCAACATACATCAACACTTCTGCACTAAATTGCTTTCTTTGTGTATCTCGGACATCAAGAGCAAGTGTTTATGTTAAATATTCTCTATTTTTGTCTATGTAGAGTAACTGCAGTGAGTTATTTATGTTTTCAGTGTGCCTATGGGTTTGGAATTCTTTTTTATTCTCCCCTAGCATCATAAATAACTTTTGGTCCGTCTGCTTTGTTGCTGTTGTGCTTAAGGGTTTTATGGTGGTGAAATAAAAATGACAATCACATGCACACTGTCATACATATGCAAAATATGTGTACAAAAAGGGAAAACTCCATGGGAAAACAGGGAACATCACTGCTGGAAACATTAACTGGGGAGAATGGGTGGTGAATGCAAGTTTCACACACAGTGGGAGTAGATACACATATCAAAGTCTATCTTCCTGCACATACTTCTGTTTTTCCCGGGAATCCCTGGTCTTGGTACGGTTCGGTCGGTTTGCTGTGGATGGGATAGAGTGAACTGATGAGCTCTTCTTGCTGGAAGAATAGGAGGAATGGGAGGAATGAGAAAGACTGGCTCGGGATTGGCCAGCATTGTGGTCAAATTGCATCAAACAGAAGATTAAGTCTGTCGGCACAAGCTCAAATTCATATGGTGGGTTTGTGATAACATAACTGGAAAAAAAAGAAATAAAGAAAAAAAGAAAGAGAAAACAGGTTTAGATTTATTTCAAACAATTTCTTCTAGAGATGTTAGCTCATGAGATTAGCCAGATTTTTGCATTTGTTTCCTGCAGTTTGTACCTAGTTGTAGCTCATGTAACTTCCATTATGATTTAGGACCTTTTTACATCAGCTGTTACTTTTTGCATGTTTTCTGTTGGAAAGACATAATGTCTGAGAAGGATGTGCTTCAAGTGAATCACATAATGATTTTTCAGAGAAGACACCATTCAAACCATTTTCCTTTCTCTAGCTGCACCATAATGCAATGACTCTAGCAAATAGATTTACATATTGACAAAACCCAGTAACATACCCACCAGAAAAAGTATTTAAAAGAATGACTGAAAAGCAAGGAGACAGGGATTTTATATGCAGTTCTATGTAAATACATATTTTATATATATAGTTATTAAATATTTAAGTACTGTCAATAGAGCAAGGGTTACAATTATTTGTTTGGATCGTGACTCTAGGTAAAACAAGTTAAAGAAAATATATCAGTAAATTTGTAGTGAGGTTAATATTGCTTATCCATTCCACATATACATTCATGGCCTCAAAGAGCATTTGTAAAGAGAAATCTGCACATCCAAGAGTCCAACATTGCTTAGTATAAATCCCAGATCTGAAATAAAAAGTCACTCAATTTCAAGAATTTCCTAATTCTTTACCTAATGCCCTTTCAGGGTAGGAAGGGCTTATAGAGCAGCTGCTAAATTTTATCATGCACATGAAAAACATACTTGAGGAAGGCAATAGGCATTTTCTGTCCGAACAAGAAATGAGTAAAAATTGAACATAAAGCTTAGAACTTCTTTTCAAATTAATTCTGTGTTCATAAGAAATCTGCTTAGCTGCTTCGGGGACAGAATTCCCTTAATAATCCTAGAAATAACTGAAGTATAGCAAATGTAGTATGAATCTAAACTGCAAATCATTTTTTCTACCCAATTTGTCCAAAGCCTTACAGAAGAAACCACTTTGGTGGGCTTCAGGGTTGTTTATTGCCATGTTCACCCAATAATGATGCTTTTTCTACAACATGAAACAGTAACAGATGGTAGATTTGTGATACTTCTGGTATGGGTCTGTGTGTGTATTTCTAGAAGGCACTTAATTAAGACACATTTCAAGCAAGCTGCTAAATGGCCTTCAGTTTGCAAAGATGGAAATGTGTCTGCTCTATTTAAAGCACTGGGGTCAGGCTTGGTGCTCCTGAAGTAAAAATGTAGTCTACCAAGGGAAGGATTTCCACTTACTGGAAGAAATTATGATTAGATACAGATAGTATTGATGGGAAGCCCAAAGGAGTATTTTTTGAGCATTCAGAAAAAAGACTAGCTACTACAATTTGAATTATTATCCTCTAATTTCCAGTTGATTGATATCAGGAAATGGAAGTCCTCTTCTTGCATGCAGTGGATCATCATAAATCAAACGATAATGTTAAAATTTGAAAATTTAATTAAAAAAATTTTGAATAAAATTAGCTAAAATTTATACCGTGATATCCAGCTTATAATTTAAAGTCAGCTAAAGAGTCATTATGAAGGCCTCAAAGACTTAGCTATTGTGGCAAAGTTATGCCAAAAATGGAGAAAGGCCTTTTTTAGATTTTTTACAGGCCTTGGGATCTTCCTTGCTAAGAAGACTGCAGAACAGTGAAGCTGAGATGTTCTAGAAGACTGGACTTACCGTTTAGTGCATTGGCTGGGAGTACTTAGATGTGCATCCCTTAATCGATAAATTCCAAAGCAAAGCATATTGTATGTTTTCAGTGCTTTACAAAATAGATCTCCATAACAACCTCCATCCTAGGAGAATGAGGGGAGAGATTAAAAAAAACAACAGATCAGCACATTTACTTTCTTTCTTTTCTGTTAGCACAACGTTGGGGATCAGGTTTTCCAATATGAACTTATAAAAAAAGGACAACATATAAATAATCTGTTGTTTGTCTCAAATGAGAACCTTTTATCCTAGGAAATGAATGATCTAAATGTTTTATTTCAAATAGGTAACTATGTAAAGTGATCATTATTTAAGAGAGCCTTGGTGCCTGAAATGATGCTAAATTGTAAGGAGTGATTTGCTTTAGGATAGAAATATAAAATTTGGTACCAGACAATGCATATTCTAAAAGTTACATTAACTGTGGTATTAAAATGGTTAGTATCTTTGACCCTTTCTTGGCAGCAGCCATACTGTCATCCAGACAAAAAAATTCACCAGGGAGGACAACAGAAATTAGAGTTCTGTGGGGTTAAAAGGATAACAAATATCTCCCTCTGTAAAATAAAGATGAGATGTATGCCATTTGTCATAAATAACATAAAATGTTTTGATTAACAAAAAAAAAGTTTAGATTTGATCATTCATATATCTGAAAGAGTGATTCTTAAGTAATAGAGTGTTAATGCATTCTGCCCTCACAGATGTAGTGCAATTGAGGCTCTGGTGAAAGGATTTGAAAGGACTGGTATTGCTTGTTTTATTTCTGGAAATGTTACGCTGCATGCCCAAGTGTGTTGATGAGCTGTTAGTCTTAGCTATGATTGGACTTCTACATGAATTGAAAGGCTGTTTGCTTCTATCTGTGTACTCTTGCTGCCCTTAATCCTTAAACTGAGATTCCCTGTCATTTTTGTGAAGAAGATTGCTCCATTCTTTTTGAACAGAGCTGGTGAACACAAGGTTAATTTAAGAAATAGCAAATCCTACATCATCATCAAAGCAAAGTGTGCTTTGGGATTCACCTCAAGATTTAAAAAGGTGGTCCAGAAAAAAATTCTAGATATTTCTTTATCCAAATGCACTGTTTTTAAAAGATCATTTGTCTATTTGAGATTGGGTTTTATTTTTTTGTTTTGTTTTGTTTTGCTTTTTTGTTTTTCTTCTTAACACTTAGGAAAAATTAGGATTTCACATGAGTTTTCATTCATCCAGAAACAGCAGAAAACAAAAGCTTTGTTTTCAAGTTAATAAGCATATTTTAAGAAATGTAAGCTCCATGAAAACACTATAAGCTTATCAAAGCCCAACAAATATATATATATTACTTACATTTACAATGCATTATTGTTAGAATAGTTATATCATTGAAATCAGTTCATCCATCTCTTTAGCTGACGAAGATGAGCTACAGGATTTTCTATATGAATTATGCAGGCAAGGACACTGGGCAGTCATATAGTTTCTTAAAAAGATTAAGAGTAAAGCTAGCACCCTGTACTGTAAATTGTTAAACAATCCAAAAGCTCTATTAAATTACAGAAATTATAGGCTTATTAAGATAGATTTTTCACTCAGTCTGAGAGAAAGCAAATACAGTGCAGACCAGCCTTGGTCCTACATTTCCCTCATGATCTTACCCCTAGGTCTGCAAACGGCCCATCATACAAAGCCAACTGAGCAACTCGACACCTGTCCCTGTTTGCAAGTGTCTGGGGCGTGCTGTAACCTCCTCTCAATGCATTTTCCTCAGCAATCAGTGCTTCCAGCTCTGGTGTGGCTCCTCCTGTTACCAATGTCCGTATCAGTGTGAGGATATTGTCATTGAAGTATGTCTGCAGAGATAAAAGAAAGCTCTTTAAGCAAACACCATTAAAGTCACAACTGAAGACATCCAAATTACAACTTTTCCGGGTTTCTGCTGTTTAAAGTTCTTGGCTGTCTCTTCAAATAATTTTATATAGAAAGTGAAAAGACAGCAGCTTCCAATTACTCTATTTTCTTCTATCCCATTAGGCTTCTATACTAGATCCTTCCTTCTAAACACCAATTCAGGCTGATTTTTATTAAAGTACAAAAATTTGAATGATTTATGTTTCCTATAATTGGTGTTAGTAGTGATGCAATGACTGCTTTCCTTCTCATCGCCTTCATGTCTAATAATGGGCTTTAGGACATGTAATTGTAAAATTCAGACCACATTTAAAGCTTACACAGGCTAGATTGCCTTTTTACTCTTGTCACCAATTCGTTGGGGAGCTGCCTTTGTGCTGCAAATGTCATTACTTATTACTGTGGCTGGACTCTAGCAGTCTAACCGATGTATTGTACTAAACATCTTATTACGAGACTTGACAGTGTTCAGACATAAGCATGTATCAATTAAACATCTTGAGTTCATTCCAGATAAATGTATGATGAGTTTGGGATCCTGGTGGTCCTTTTAAAAAACTCTAGGGTATAGGGTAAGTGTGGTTTATTAGGGAAGATTTACTCCACACTGACATTTTGCCAGCATCTGTAGCATTGCTGGTCTGTCAGGCAAACAATGGGTATGTAAAATATTAATTTAAATCCAGATGAATGACTTTCAAGTTCACTTAAAAGTATACTGGTATAGTTCAGATATACTCAGTTAAATATCTGCAGTGCATTGTACTGGGCAAAAAAAAATGTTGAACAAAAAGAGGAGACACCATCACTTATAATGCCACTAATGTCTGTGTTTTCAGAAGCTTTGCAAGTGTGGGAGACATATGAGGAGAAAATGAGCTCACTGTAAAGTACACAGAATTGACATTACTGGATCTGTGACTTCTGTTGAATTTAGAACTTGGAACAAATGTCTGTAATCCAACCAAGTAAAAATGAATTAAACAAATTCTCAAACAGTGCTTGTTATCTAAAAAGAATAATTTTTAAATAATACTTTTCAATGAAATTCATTGGTCTATCCATATAATGTAATTGTATTTAATACATGGGTAAACTGAGGTACAGGTTGAAATATTTTATCCTGAGATCAAAAAGCAGAACTGTCTTCCTGTCCATGTTACATTGATATTCTTTCTTTGTATGATGAAATTTCAGCTTCATTGTTTGCCTGAGATGACAGATAAAACAGAAGAAAACAAATTCTATGTGCCAATGTTTTTCATTGTTACACTAAAGTTTCATAACTTCAAGCTTCTCTGCTTATTTACATAGGCTATTGTGTCATTCACCTGTTGACTCAATTAAAATGAGAGAAACATATTGTTATTGTTATATATGCCCTAAAGCAAATATTTGCATCTCATCAGTTCCAATTATTTTAAATTAGCCTGGGTAAGGCACTACATATTTTAAATACAAAGGGTACTGTAAAGAGTAATCTGACATAAATAGGGATTCAGGAAGATTCAGATAGTCTAAAACAACTCCTAATCTCAAATCAGCTCTTACATATGTGGATGCACTGTAACAATTCAAGTGCAATACTCAAACCTTTCTTAACATACAGAAAAATCAATGTGACCCCTTTCAGGAACGTAAGTCTGGAGCAATTACATGATGTTTAATAGGAATTGCCATGGTGAGAGAGAGAAGACATCCAGGCATGATTGTTTATTCTTCAATTATTTCTTCCTTGATGTCCCTGAGGTGAGAATCAGAGTTGCTCTTTTTGGCAACTCTTCCGACTGTGCTATACTTTTTCAACATGGAAGTACTCAGAATCCAAAGGAAAAAAAAAAAAGCACTAAAGTGAGTCTCTTTGCTTTGCTTTGTCAGCATGTGCTGTATAGCACTCAGAACTAAAATAATGAGCACAATTCCTTTGCTCCTGCGGTTAGGCAGCAAGTGTTGCTTGACACCAGTTTCATGGATGTAAAGACAATTCTGCCAGATCTAGAAGTTAGAGGTACTTCAATTGTAGAAGCCCTCAGAAAAATGTGCTTCAATATATTCTTATAATACATATATTATATATATTCTTATATAATATATATATTCATATATTCTATATGGCACCTTAAGCACACATCTTGACAAAAGCATAACATTTTCTGCAATAGGATCTTTTATCATGCCTTCCCCACTCTTTTATTATGGACTTTTGATTCCTTTTCTTCTCTAAGTAGTGATATTTAGTATTATTCAAAAATGCTGTTCTCAGTTTTACATCTATAAATCAACACAGAGGAACATGAAACAAAAGTAAAAGCATATCTTTACTGGTGTTTTTTTCATATCCGTTTTAAAATGAGGCCAATTATGGTAAGAAATGATCACCTGCTCCTAGACTGATGAACGCTAGTTCTTTTAAAATAGCCTGGTTTTTATAGACTGCTAACTTGCAGTGACTGGTAAAACGTGCAAAAGTCTAAAATAGTACTAATAATTTCATTACCCTTTAGGAGTAAAATAGGCAAGCCTTCACTGATTTCCAACCCTTTCTCTCTCTATTCTGTAATTCAAATTATAGCAATAGCCAGAATCCAAGATGCAAATGAAAAAAGAACCAGGTCTACTGTTGATGGAACATAATGCTGTCACCAGAGAAAGGCTTCCCACTGCTATACAAATGTTAAGGCAAAGCAAAGACATGTACTAGCAAAGGAGGCAACATTTATCTTGGAACAATGGCTTAATTTGGGTTTCACACCATGATGGATGTGGATGTCACCATTTAATCAGCTGGATGAGTGTAGCCAAGTGATGGGTTTTGGGGTTTTTTATGTCATCAATGAGAGAAAAGGTTCCAAATTTCAGGACAAACTGTTCCAGCACTGCATCTGATCAGAAAATGTCCAACCATAAGTGAGAAAAGATGGGTGAATAGGAAGCTGTAACTTGTCACCATCTGCTAAATAGTGTCTCTTCCTCCTGTACTAATGTCTTTAAAACTCCTCAGGAAAAACCTGTCTGTCTGTGCTTTTGATTGTCACAAAAATCAAACTCCTCTTATTACCTCTTGCCAGTTTGGAACTGGGGGGACACTGAAAAGCTGAACTAGCTGATATCCATTTCCTGTGGAATAATAATACACTGAAATTAATTTGAGAGTGATCTTCTACTTGCTCTGTGGGAGGGTACATGGCCTGGATATGCCAGTACTTATAAGAAACTGATCTACAGAATGTCTTTGGAAAGGTGCTGTTATATTTAAAGTAACAAGGCATTTCCCAGTGATGGCAAAGAATTCCTTTTGTTTAATATAAAATTATAACTGATGAAATATTTGTTTGTTGTTGTCATTAACCAAACCCTGGACATCTGTATGACATTGCTTTAGTTGGCCCCCGGAATGAGAATATGAAATAGGTGTAGCCTAAACATAAAAAAAAGGAAATGCATCATAGACACTGAAACTGGGTAAATAGCAAGGAAATTATGACACAGATATCTAAGCTAGCAGTGCCACCTAGCCCATGCTCTGGAATTGTAGTGCTGCTCTTTCAGATGTTTTGGGGATGCTTTCCCATTTGTTCAATCATTTTTTAAAGTATAATTACCAGAGTGCTTATGTTTTGCAGTTAATGTTGTCAAGCCTTTTAAACTAATTGGTCTTCTACAGAAAATGTAACTGAAAATTAGCACATCTTTTAATAATATTGCTTTAACTTTAATAGAGCTTTGCCTTTCATTTATAATTACGCTAAAATTGTCATTTTCCAAGTAATATCTTCCTTTTTTTGTGTTTGGTAGTGATTTTGTATGGATTTCCTTTAAGAAGACTCCTTCTCCACTGCATGCAGCTTTTAACCTCACTTTCAAACAAGTATCTTTTTTTTTTTTTCAGTTGGAGAAATAATATATACTCAAACCTGAGGAATAACTTAGCTAACATTAGTAACTCCTATCAATAACAAACTTGCTTTTGAGACAGAATCAAGAGCAGAAAATAAATAACAGCATTTCATGGTTTGAAAATCTATTAATTCTCAAAGTATTGTCCAAACTTTAAAGACATTTGAGACACTTAAAGTTACAAGATGCTGCTTGCTAACACCTGAACAGACTTACAGTCTTATGTTTCAAAATGTCCATATCACAGGTTAGAAGAGCTTCTTTCTGTATAAATAAGACTGTGAGGATCCCTCAGGGAGAACTCTCAGAAAAGGGATATAATGAAAAGTTATTTTTAACTGTTTTAACTATTTTCTTCCATTCTGTGCTTTTGTTTATTTGAAGAAAAAGTAGGATTTGGTAATAGAGAAAAAAATCAACACCTAAAGTTCTAGCGTTAGGAAATGAATTCCAGGATATTGAACGTTAAAGGGTATAATCTGGTTCTGGAGATCCTTTCCTCTAATGGCACCACTCCGACAGTACAACAGGTCTGTTGCAAGTGGTGTGTGTGGGAGGGATGCCAACCTGTCAGAACTTCTGTGGTTTTCATAGCTTCAGTGCCAAAAGGAGTAAGAGTGAAGTTTTGGCTCTCAGGCCAACTGCTCAAACCTTTAAGGTACTGAAGTCTGATAAAATTGGTTTCCTTGCATGCACAGGGTTTTCTGGAATAGCTGTCTAAACAAGAACCAGAAAGGGAAAAAGTATTTCTGCTTAAAAATTTACTTGTCTTAGACTATCCCTATGTCATGTAACTTTTCTATAGCTGAAGATAATAATTTTAAAAACCATTCATAGAGTCTAAAAGATGCTTGCAGTCCCACACTTTTTAGTCACATTCCACTTGGTGATGAGAACACGCTCTGCTTTTCAGGAGTGGTGCCACCTTGAGACTGACAGACTACATGTATTCTTTCCCTGGGTTTGCATATGTTACGACAAAACAAATAATAATAATATATGATTCAAGTTTCTCATGGCAGTATATGTCTCTTCAAAGACATAATAATGATTAGCTGGAACAATTTAACAATAGCCACTGACATAGTTAAAACCTGAATTATGCCTAGAGTCTTCACACAGACCACAATGATGCCCTCAAACTGAAGCCTGGAGAGACCACTGCTACCAATTCATCAAAAAGACAACGAAGATTTGGACCTGGTTACTGTCTTCTCAGCAGTGATATTTCAGCTGCTACACTATGAATCTTGGGCTTGTGGAATATACTGCCTTTGCTGCAAAAGACAAACTGTGAGTAGATGGCCAGTAGATAGCATTTTGAAAACTCAACTCCACTAGGCCTTTTATCTACAAAATAAGGAAATAACAATTTCAAATTTAAAATATCTAATACTGTCATCTAATAGGAAATAATTCTAAATTAGTAGAAAGTAAAGAGTTTCAGCATTCAGAGTTGAGTCAGAAAGTGACCACGTTTTCTAATCTGTGATTCATGAGTAGGGTTTAGTGCACTATTTCTCTATTAATGAAACTGTAAAAAAATAAACTAATAGTTTACCACTTATACTGTAAAATTATGATTATCCAATAACTGAATTATTTAAATATATTTTGTATATTTTTTCTATATACATACATTATATGTATGTTTCAGATTATCCATAGGTCAGAAATAATACTGTGTGCACGGGTATTATTCTACTTTCTAATCTTTCTTACACCTGTTTTACTACAAAACCCCACTACTGTGAGAAGAGATTCATTCTTAAAGGAGCAGTTCATGCATTGTACATTTGCATTGTAGACTATATAAGGAATTTGCATAACAGATACCAACATAGATCATAAATTGGAATTTTCCTATAAAAATTTGTCAGTAAAACCCCCTGAATCATAAAGAGGATTGAATAGTGAACTATATACTTCTTTCTAAGTGAGCTGGCAAAGGCCAGCACAGTGCAAATTATATACTTCTTACTGAATTCCTATGCAATTAATAGGATGAAAGCATGACTGCAGATCTTACAATTTAGCAAGGATTTTGGGTTCAGTTTGCCCATACTGGTTTGAAGCTAAACAGAACAAATAGAAGGTGGTTCCTAAAAAGAGTGTACTCTGGAGAAAATAAAATAAACAGATAATATAGTGCAAGTAGATTAGTTTGTGTGAGAAACGCTCTTTTCCTTGGAGAAGAAGTGAAAGGAGAATACATCTTTCCCATGAGAATAGGGATAGTAAAGGGAAAACATCTCACACATTTTACCCTTTCTGAAGGGTCAGGAAGAATTGTACTTTTCCAACTCTTTACTGGGCCTTTGAGGAATAAAAGAGAAAATAACGCTACCACCAATCAGCAAAGTGGTGAAAGAAAAGACAGGATGGTGAACAATTCTAAGTGACTGAATCCTTGGCTTGTCTTCTTGATTAGTATTTTTTCTAAGTATAGAGTTTTCTACTCTTGTTATCACATTTCTTTGGCTTCAGGTTGCACTGTCCCTGACATACAATATGACCACTTAGATGTAAAAATGTTTGGAAAAAAGACTGTTAAAGAAAGGAATTGCAGAAATGGAGGGGCATGTTGTCAAAAAATGAAAGTTCATGAAAGCTAGCAATAACTAAAAATATTATGAGGATTACATGGTGAGTTCCAAATAAAAATTTCTGAACAGGCATGGTCTCTACATATTTTTCATTGCCTCACTATTATTTACATGACATACTTTTGCACAAGAAAGCAGTGATGTCCACAACATTTCACTCTCTTTCTGTGGTGATGCCAGAGGCAACCAGAATGATTAACCCTACTTTTTTAGATTCTGGAAGTGTTCTACTGAACATTACATTCAGGGACATTGATTTAGATAATAATGGGAGTAGATATACAACAATTTGGAACCTTCATGTTAAATCATTCCCATATAAAATTTGAAAATACTAAATATTTTATAGGTAGAGCTTAATTTTAATTAGAGAAGGTACAGAGTTTAAGTGTGTTTGCTTAGGCTTTCTGAATTTGTCACATCTGCAAAACATTGTAAATAGCTTTCAAGAAAAGCATCTTCTGAGGGTATTGAAAACTCCTAGACTGAATTAGAATAAACTTTTATCAGTGTAGACTGATATTATTCATCTGTGGATGGAACATATGAGAAATATAACAGGGAAAAATACAAAATACAGATACATAAATATGAAATACAAATAAAAATATTAAATAATAAGGATCACAGTGAATTTTTCTTAAAAGCAAAAAGTTTCATTCTGAGTTTAGGTGAAGGTCAGACTTTGCTCTCTTGAAGAAATCCATCTACTCATACAAAGTGTTACTTACAACAGATGATTCCCAGCACTATGGAACTTTATTCCACAGGGAGCTCAGAAAACCTATGCTTAGATTTTAAAAAGACTACATCCTTGTGATATCTATCAGAGCTTAAGGTCACTCTGAAAGAAGCATATCTCACACAGAGCAAGACTGGTTTAAAACCTAGACAATATGAGGAGAATGTAAAGGAGTAGGACCGAGGCTTCAGAACTGTACTATGGTTGCAAACCAAAAGTCCTAATGTAGACATAACCAAAGGCCACCATCTGTAGTTTCTGGCATGTGCTGAAGTTTTGATTCACAAGAAAACTCATATGAAAAAGAGAGGACAACCTTTCTTCACACAAGCAGAGTTCATGAGATGTGTACAATGGCTTTTGTATAGTTCTATCAGTGTCCCCCAGTGCTCATACTCAGAGCATTGTTCATAGCTACAGGAAATTAAAAGCTCAAAACACAGTTGATGCTGTCTGACATGAATGGTGAGCATAGCACTGACACACTGAATTTGTGTCTGGATTTCAGAAGGAAGAGACAACTTTTTTTTGGAAAACATTATCCTTAAAACCTGACATAAGACTCTTTCCTTGTAATATTGTGGACTCCTGGAAGTCCTAGATATCTCAGTTAAGGAAAAATAACCTAGTTTAGGTTCTGAAATTCTTGACATCTAAGAAAAAAGTGTCTTCTGCCTACCTGAGGAAAAGGGTCCATGCTTTCATACTTTTTCGTAATAAGTCTGACAGAAGGGAATGAAAAAGGTTTTGTTTACTTACTGCGCTCATGAGAGAGTCCAGCACACTGACAGCAAACGCGGTTCCACATGCAAAGGGCTGCGTGAGATACAGTTCTGTGTCTGGATCATCATCATCATCTTGGTCCAAGAACTGAACATTTGAATCATTTACTGAAAATAATAATAATAAGAAAAACAGTAAAATCATAAGGTGCCTCTGGGTCACCAGCATGCAACCTCACACATTACACAGTCAAAGAAAAAGAAACAGCATATGTCTGGAAACACAGACTTGTGTCTTTGACGTCACTGAAAATGAAATCAAGATGGATGTGAAAACGTGCATTTAAAAATCTCTTGCTTGTAAGAGGTGACACTCTTGTTCTTGAGAGGTGACTATCCCTTTCCTGTAAAAGTAGTTTTGTGGCACCAGCTGCCTGCACTTAAAATGAGATACATGATGCTCTTATTTATTGAGACAATCTTGGTATTGGTCAGGTACAATGGCTAAGGCTGTATACATGGATAGTGAAATGTTATCACAGGATACAAAGTTAGAACCCCATTGTAAAATAAAGGCTGTCAATAAAACTCTGATATAGCCCACAGGCATCTGTTAGATGTGCTGCTGTGATTCTTACTGGAATTATCTTAATGCACTTATAGCTCAAAAGAGGATAGACTGTCCCTTTAACATGCATCTATCTGAATTAGTAGCTATTCTCTTGCAGCACTGCCTTTTGTTCAAATATTTATCTCCGTAATTTCACTTTCTCAGCCACAAATTCTATATTAGCCAGTGTGAAAAAGAATCTACATGAGGATATTTTAAAGAAAAAGCCTGAATAAAGTAGTATTTGTCATTTAGACTTTCTCTGGCATTTCATTGTCACAGTTAAGCCCTCTGCCTCCATCTCATTCCAAATAAAAATAGTTGTTTCCTTGAGATCAGTGTATCAAGTGAACCATATTTCATGAAATATTTCATTTCCATATTAATCTCCCTCAGGCATGAAAGCACAGACTGCTTAACTATGCCATCGGAATACCCTTCAACTTACTAAACAACAAATTAATTTCAGTTCCCATGCAAGAAAGGGAAATTAAAAACTTTTTGAGCATTTGAAACTGCATATACCGACTATGTCCCTACTCCCTGTGTGAACACGTCTCCTGAGCCAATCCAGCGAACTTTGAAGACAGCATGAGAGTTGCTGTTAACTTTATCAAATTTCATCTCTGAACTTCTTAAGCTAGAAATTTTTCTGCCTGCTGTTCTTATCTTCCTTCTCATACAGTTTAATTACCTCCCATATAGTTTTCTTTTCTGTCCACTCCTTTTCAAAACTATATTCTACTGCCCTTGCCATGCTTAGCTTACAAAACATAAATTACTACAGATAAAGCCGCATAATAGCTGTCTAAATGAGATGAGACTAGGATTTAAAATTCCTGCCTTCCCACTCCCTGATGTAACTGTAAATATATAACACCTCACTGTAATCAGAGAAATGTTCTGCCCTGGGAGTCAGAAGAATTTCATCCAAGAAAACACCAATATCCACAATACTTTTTTCTTTAGTACAATACCTATCAATTTATTCTCCAGATTCTTGAGCAATATAGTATTTGAAAGCCTGCTGTATAATTTCAAAATGTGCTTTTTGAAAAGCTTGTACCTTAGTTTAATTTGCTAGTTGAGAGTAGGCACTATTGACAGTACCATTCTTTTTCCACTTACATCTGGCAGACTAATACCTGCCTTAGACACCAGCTTGCTAGACATGCATGGTGTCAGTTCCCAAAATGCTACAAATCTAATGTGAATTCTGCAGGTGTGTTATCCTCAATATCTTTATCTTCCTAATGCAAGTTAGCAGGCTAGTGTTTCTATGAAAGGTCTCTGGGCCAGGTGAGGTGGGCTGGAACGTGCTGTGCTGCGCCACAGGGAAAGCTCATCAAACGCTGCTTGCAAAGGCTGGTGGGAGCTCTGTGTCAGGAGGGAACAATGCAGAAACTTGACTGCTTCTCTACAGCTTCAAAACCTGAGCTTCTGGGGAAAAGCCTACTCCCTAAAATAAACAAACAAATAGCTTAAGGGAAAGTAAGATGCTGGGGTTTTTTTTCCTGGTATCTTTTAGTTCCTCTTGGACTTCCTGTGAAAACTGCTAAGGCATGTCCACCAAATTGACAACAGTCTGAAGCAACAAAAAAGAAAGAGAAAGAGAGAGAGAAAAGGAGAGAAAAATTGGGGGGAGGTGAAGGGGAGGGCGCCGGGAGGTGGGGACTCAGGCCAAAGAAAATGAATTGGTGAGGAGGTGCTATGAAAACAGCCGGCAGGTCAGACGAGTGTGATCAAAGGTTTACTGATGCTGCGTGAAAAAAAAATCATTAAGAAAAACCAGAACAAGACAGTCAATTTCAACTAGAACCACAAATAAAACACATTCAAAGCAGTGCCATGAGGGTAGCCCCTCTGATACAGCCAGATAAATAAAGGGAAAGCTGATGACAGTAAGAACAACAACAACAGAAAATAAGACAGTGATGTGAAGGAAAAAGGCACTTCTTACCCAGTTCAGTTATCATAAGAATGTGGGTTCCACTGTTTTTTTCCTGACTGATTGAAACCAAAGGCAGAAGTTTGCCAGGCTTAGCTAGTAAGTAAAGTATTTAAGGGGAAAAGAAAGTACAGAAAGAGAATAAAGTAAGGGAAAAAGACAGATAAGGCTCTAAAAAATAAAACTGAAAAAGAAAATAGAGGACAAAGGACCACAGATCAAGTTTGTATTTGCCATGAAAAAAACAGAACAGCTTCTGCACTTCACATCACACCACTTGACAACATAAATACCCACAGCTAGAGTGGAAATCAGAGTCTAGTTACCTACCATCATCGTATTCTCAGGAGTAAAATATCTCATACTATTATACAGAGTTTGGTTACACATGATTAAACAGCTTTGGACCATGAAGAAATAAACAAATGGCCTCTTACAATTGATTAAATGCACAGGAAATATCTGCTCATACTTACTGTGGCTTTCTTCCTTTTCTAACCTTAGCCCAAAGACCTCTGCTTATTTGTTACACTATGCAAAAAGCGTCTTGCCTGATAGAATATTTATTTAAGAAAATGGAGAAAACCCAAAGGGAGGAGAGAAATATATTTTAGTCATTCAAATAAAGTGAACCGTTACTAAACTTTCTTTAGAGAGAGTAATTCAAAACAGTTATCAAAAGAGAAAACATAACAGTGTAAGACACAGTATGGGTAATTTTTCTGTAACTGCATAACAAGGGAAGTGGGAAAAAGATCCGGGAATGTGCATGAAAGGATAAATGTTAGCTTTCCTTACCTAGCTCTGTAATAATAGGGATGTTGGCTCCTGTTGTAATGGAGGGTTGACGTAACAGGCCATGGACTGGACTGTTGTCTGGAGATGACCTATCCATTCCAGGGGGTGTAAAGCCTAAAAGAAAAAAGAAAAGGAGAAAAAAAAAAAAAAGATAAAGTTTACAGAGGACAAACTATGGGGAATTCCCTATCTCTTGATTTTATTTTTTTCCAGGAAAGTATGGTAAAAACTTGTCATTTAAAAAAAACTGTCTTAATTTTCAACAATTATTTCATAAAAGCACAATCCTTCAGAAATATACAGTTTATTTCTACTGTTAGATATTTGATAGCTAATGGAGAAACTGAAATTCATTTTGCTATCCTAAGCCTTTGCATCAAAAAGTGCAAAATGGAAAGAGTAATGCTTACTTAAAATATCAAAAAATTATAAAATTTTATTTTTTATAAAAATAAAAAAGACCACAATGTTTGAGAGGTTTAATTTTGTCTTATGAGTATTTCAATAATCCTGAAATAAATACCTTTTCTTAAACAAAAAATAACATTTTAAACAGTACTGTTTGTAAATGGTAGTACAACCATGAGGAACAAATTGCTTCCATTAGTTGGTTTTAGGTTTGATCAACAAGCAGGGTTTAAGTGTTTTCCAGGAGCAATACCACCTACACATAGTGTTTTGTTTGTTTGCTTTTTTTTTTAAATTTTCATGTGTAAATTTGTAATCATTTATAATATGCATTTCTATGAGGATTATCATTGTAAGAATACTGGGATGGAAGGATTCATTTTAACAGACAAAAAGATAGGATGAGAAAGAAAAAGACACAGGTTTTCAAACAGTATCTAAGACAAATCCTTGAAAGGAAACTAGAAAGGAGTAAAGATGTAAAGTAAACAAAGGTGAGAGAGGAAACATGTTGGCAGCCACTCACAGAAAAAAGAGATCTGGAGACCACCAAGGTTCACCTCCAAGAGACATTATGTTTTCAGCCTGATTCTCGACACACTTTGAAATGGAGCCCTTGACACTGAACATTTTTTGTCTTTTTTTTTTTCTCCCCCCTCTTTTTTTCTGTTTCTTTAAACAAAAAATACCCAGACAAAGCCTTTTGGAGTTTGATTATAAATACTGAAAAAAAAGTAGTTATACAAAAGCTCATGCAATAGAAGGATGGAAATTCACTGTTGAGACTAAAGCATTCCACCTCCCTTGTCCATTAAAACTGTAGAAAGCATGGGAATATTCATTTAATGTCATTATTGCAGAAGGATGGTGAAGCTAGAGGTTGACTTCAGGCTTTAATGTAGACAAATGTTAAGGCAGCATTTTTAGGCAAGTATTTGTATGCCAGAAATAGGATTGATCCAAGCTCACTTTAAAACATACATTTCTGAGAAAACATTTTTTTGCCACATTATTCCTAAGTTCTTTGACTTCACACCTGACATCCAGGGACAGACTTTTGGTCCTCTGTCAATAGTTCTGAATTCTCCATATACTGATTCTAAATTAAACAAAGCCAAATTAATTCCTGACATAACTTCATTATCTGCTTGCAGTGTGGAAACTGTTTCACACCATTAAATTCATTGATATGTTAATCTGTTACTGATTTTAGAGAATATGATATTACATAGTTTACCTTTCTTTAGTTTGGGGACCAATTAACAAACCGGGAAATTTCTAAACTAAATTGTAATTTCTACCACGTTGTACTGGTTTTATATTGTCTTAAGGATTTATGGTTCTTTTCCAGTGATAATTACCATCATTGTTAAACTGCCCCTAAACTACAAGGACCACTAGATCTGGACTTCTTGATTTAATGGGATTTAAATTTCTCTTGCATTCATCTATCCCTATGTTTTGTCTGTATCACATATAGAATATACAGGCAATAAAACTAGAATCACTGAGGAGAGACTTTCTTAGCCCTCCAGAAGGTACTGGTATGAATTTCATTCTCTCACAAGAAAACTAGATACAACATGATGATTGTACAGACAGGATAGCTAAGATGGGAGTAAAAAGTCTATGAAGATATTCCTTAGGAGAAAAGAATTGGATGTGGTATCTTCAACAGGCCTGCAAGACTAAAATATTGCCGTAGACAAATCTAAGTCAGTAAAACAATTCTATTTAGTATTACCAGTGCATAGAAAATCTTTAGAAAGCAGATTTCTATGAGGGAATCAGAAGTGTTAACAGTCAATCATTTAATATTGCTCCTTGTGCTGAATTGTGGGTAGAGTCCTTCTCAAATCTTCATTCACTAAGCCTAGCCATGGTGATGTGTTGAAACTAATTCAGTAAGACCGACAGGGTGACAGTGAGTTGCATTTCCAACTGGTAGTGGTTTGCAGATATTTCCTTGTATCGGGGCACTATGACTGATAGCTGTCTTGGCTCTTTGAACATTTACTTCTGCATGGCAGAGCTGGAGATTCCTCAGGCTCATAAAGTGAGTCTAAGAGAGGTAATTCAGGCACCATCTCATGACTTACAGGTGATATAGACACTCTCTCAACAGCAGGAAAATGAAAGTGGGACTCCAAAGGGAGGAAGTGCTACCTGAGGACAGGTGGGTATTAATGTGACACCTTCTTCTGCAGCACGATCTAGTGTTTTAAGTCTCGCACTCTGTTATGGAATGCATTCTGTTAGGAGATGCAAGATATGGCCTTTGTCACAGTATAATAGAAAAAGCTCATCCATACTCCTTGAGCAGTTAAGCTGGCAAGCCCAGTTGGGTTCTCTGCAGAATTACAGGTCAAAATGGCAACAGCAAGACTTTTTACACTCAGTTATCTAAGAGCAAAGAAAACTTATACTGTTCTCATGTACCCTAGGGATTGTACTGCTCAGAGCATCCATAGAGGCTCTGCTTCTCCCTTTTTCCTGAAGGCTTTCCTCTGCCCATCTCAGGATGCGCTCCCTAAAATACTTTTTAGTGAATCAGGCTATTCAGATGGTAGGAGCACATCAGCATTTCCCTGCAGCTAAAACCAAATGAAGTAAATTAGCATAACTGCACCTAAACGTGCAAGTTCTTCTTGCCTTCCCTCCACTGCAATGTGCATCCACATAGAGACACGGACACGCACACTCTCCATTGAAGGCTATTTGTAGCCACCTCTCTAACCCTTCAAATATTTGTCTTCTTAGGATGGTGTCAGAAAATTGAAGTAAATGCAGCATTTCTGTTAGACAGCGACTGTCAGAAGCTCTGTAATTGCACACTGCACACATAGTGCATTCAGTCTGAAATGCAGGAAGCATGTTAAGGAGAATTTGTTTTCACCTTGAATGTAAAACTAGACTCATGCCTTGATATTTTTCATCCTGTGGTCTGGAAAGATGTGAGAAATATCTGATAATTTAATTTCCCTGCTTGTACTTAATTCAGACACTTATAGAAATTTACTTTTAAAAAACTTTGGAATATTTTAAGGAAAAGGAAAACTGAAGTATTTGTGGATTTTGTGTGCCTGTGTTTGGACTCACATGGTGTCGTAGACCTTCAGGCCACATTCCTACTCCCAAGTCACAAAGTAAATTCGATACATAGGCTGTCTATTTTTTGACTCCGGAAAAGAGAACAAAAAAAAAAAAAAAAAAAAAGTGCAGGAAAACTAACCTGCTTTATCAGAACTTTCATTTAAAGGCATGAAAAACTACAAGTGACAGCTGTGCAGATTCAGTGAATGTGACATTTTTGAATTTCTTCAACTTGACAAGTAAACACCTTAAATCGGTAATGCTATATGCATAATACATGACCTGTATTTTGACATCCATCATCGAATGCTGACTTGAGAAAATACAGGTTTGTACGTCAAGGAATAGCACCCATAAAGCAGGGAGAAATTCAGGTCACAGGGTATTAGGAAAACTCTATTTCATTACAGAAGCTGAAACAAGCTAAGGCATCAGATTTAAGATCCATTTTCAGTTGTGAAAAGATTAAATTCCTCTGCACAGAGCATTCATTTAGAAATGACATGCTTTCCTCACAACCTCTTTTCATTTTCCTTTTCATATTCCATTTTCTCCTTCAGTCCACAAACCTTGTTCCATTAATGCTCATAAAAATCGTAAAACAGGGGTGATAGTTGTGATCTTACAACCACAGTGTCTCCTTGTTCAACAAACAACTGAGGGAGCTGTGGCTACAATTGCTTAAAAGGATCAACCTCTACAGTAAAATTCACATGGGCTATGCAAGTCTGAGCATAGCCCCTCTGGAAGGAAATACAGTGGGGGACTTGTGGAGAAGGGAATTCTGTTTGCCAACAGCTAGGAGGTAAGGTACAGCAAAATCATACCATTTCCAGCAGCCACTGCATCCGGTATTGAATTGCTATACTGGGTGAGTGATTGACTTTGCATCACTTGGTTTTTGCTTTTGTTGTTTGTTTTGTGGTTTGTTTTTATTTTCCTCATTTATTAAACTGGCTTTACCTCAGCTCATAAGTATTTTTTCTCATTGTGGGGAAGTGAGCCAGACTGGCTTAGTTATCAGTCAGGGTCAACCTACCACCATCCGTTTTAGGGATAACCACTACAACAGAGTCATAGAATCATTTAGGTTGAAAATGACCTTTAAAACCATTGAGTCCAACCTAGCACTGCCAAGTCCACCACTAAACCATGTCACTAACTGTCACATCTAGACGTCTTCTAAATACCTCCAGGGATGGTGACTCCGACACTTCCCTGGCCAGCTTGCTCCAATGATTGGCAATTTTTTCAGTGAAGAAATTTTCCCTAATATCCAAGCGAAGCTCCCCTTGGCACAACTTGAGGCCATTTTCTCTTGTCCTTTCATTTGTTATTAGGTAGATGAGACCAACCCTCAACCTCACTACAACTTCTTGTCAGGTAGTTGGAAAGAGCGATAAGGTCTCCCTTATCAAACTGGGGAAACTTCAACAGAAGGCAGCTCACTCCTGCCCCTCTCTGAAAAAAGGTGATGCCAAACAGTGAACTAAGTATATCGTGTCTCTGAAAGGAACAGGTTCTGGGCTTTGACATGCTTAAAATCAGTGAGGCCTGGCAGTCAGCAGTCACTGTGTCCCTCCTGGCAGCAGCCCCCCTCTTTGAGAGGCAGG